GACGTGGGGGCTGGGGGTCCACGTCGGGGTCCTGATCCCAGCGGCTGGCCTGGGAGCCTCCCAGACTTAGCCAGCTGCGTGCATTCACTCACTCAGTCCTTCACTCAGGAAGCACCTGCACACCCGCTGTGTGCTGTGCGCATGTGGGGAGAGAACAGAAGGCCGCGACGGTGCTCTAGTCTCCTTCCCATTCTGGTCTCCCTCCTTCCCTTCGGCCTCTGAGGGGGACTTTCTGACCCGCATCCCCAAACCTTTGCTCCGCGGGGGCTGGGCCTGGGGTGCCACCTTTCCTCCTCTCTTCTAACGAAACCCTGCCCGTGCTCACTTCAGAGCCAAGCCAGATACCACCTCCAGGAAGCCCCAGGGTTGGCTGGGACCAGCTGGGCTGGGGGGTGGGCAGAACTCTCACCTGGGCTTTCTTGTAGCCCACCATCCCCACTCTGCCCATTTAGACTCTAGGCCACCCGCCCTGCTCAGCACCTACTGGGTCCGGGCAGGTCTCCAGTCGGGGCAGCTGCTCTGCCTGACACTGCTCAGCAAGCCGCCCAGAGGGGAGGCCGGAGCGCCCCTGGGGCCCGCCCCGCGCGGGGCCGGGACGCCTCACTCACCGGTGTCTGAGGCCGAGACGGCCTTGGTCAGCATGCTGTCGGTGACCACGTTGAGGGCACACAGGCTGAAGACCAGGCCGGGCATCAGGAGACAGAAGTGGAAGATGTTGGCCATCAGCGCCTGGTGCAGAGCAGGGACCCTGGTGATTGGGGGCCACACGGACCAGGATTGGGGGGCCCACCCCTGAGGTCCCACAGAGGTGGCCCTGGGTGAGGATGGAGGGACCCAGGGCCTCAAGTACAAACTGGGCACCTGCAGAGGGTCAGGGGAGCGGGCCTGGGACCCACTCATTGTGGGGGCAGCCTGAGCAGGGCGCTCTCACCATGGCCAGGCCCACGACGCTGAAGACTAGCACGCTGGCCCGGAGCAGGGCTCCCTCAGAGAAGTGGCTGCTCAGTCGTCCGATGACCAGGCCCTGGATGACCTGGCGAGGACGAGAAGGTGGAGGTGGGTGTGGTGGAGCCCTGGAAGGGGGTCTCCCAGAGCCTCCCCCACCCTCTGCAGCCCTTGGGGCCCCTGCCACCACCCCTAGCAGCAACCAGGCGCAGGGCAGAGGGTGGAACCCATGCACGGACATGGCCTGCCTGCACACACATGTGCACACACACGTACAGCCAGCCGCTCAGAGGTCTGAGTTCCACGTTCAATGTAATCTTGTCTCCAATTTCAGACATGATGAACATGTTTTAACCAAAGGTTCAGTTAACTCCTGACGGGGGGTTGGGGAGGCAATGGCTTATGGTGCAAAAACTTCTTAGCATTAAAAAAAATTTTTTAACATTTTTCTTATTGTTAAAATTTTTTTTTAAATGAAGGTACTGGAGATTGAACCCAGGACCTTAAGCATGCTAAACTAAACATGTGCTCTACCACTGAGCTCTACCTTCCTGCCAAAAAAAAGCTGCTTTGATATGAACATGCTCACAGTGTGGCCCTGACTCCAAAACCTGGGTTCCCTTGTGGCCCTGGGAAGCCCCCTTCCTTGTCACTGGCCCCTGTGTGCCCCCATCCCAGCCAGCCACTCTTCCTCAGCCCCCTCTTTGGCTGCCTCTTCTGGGAGGTAGGACCTGCCCATTTCACAGATGGGGAGACCAGGGCCCAGAGAGGAGGAGGTGGCTGGACTGGGACCTGAGCCCAGAGCCCTGGTGCCTACCTGGGGCCCTCGAACCAGCTGGCCAGAGCAGGCACACCAGCTACCGTCTACCATCCCTGTGCTGGGACTGGGTCAGGAGCCCTGTTGTCCTCCACACCATAGGAGGCTACCACCCCAGTTATAACTGGGGACACTGAGGCCCAGAGTGCTGGCATCACCTGCTCAAAGTCCCAGAGCTGGCTGGTGATGGAGCTGGGGTACAGTCTGGTGGGGTGGATGGTGAACCTCAGGACCCAGAACCAGTGCCTTGTCTTGAGCCTGTCAGGTGAGGGCCCCCGAGGAGGTGGCAGCCCCGGGTAACCCCCACTGACACTCAGCTGTCCACTCCCAGCTGTGACCTCCTCGCCCTCCCCCGGGATGGCCAGCCAGCCAAGAGTCACGTGAAGTTAGAGCTCCCCTTCCTGCCCTTTCCACGAGGGTGGGAGGAAGGGCCCCCAGCAGGGATACCCAGGACACTGTGGATGTGACTCAGAGGGCAAGCCCAGCCCTCAGGCTGTTCCCAGGCCAGGGTGAGGCTCCCTCTCTGGTCCGCGGGCTGGCAGGAAGTGCCCAGGGCACAGTGGGTTTGGAGCAGCACCCACTGGGGCTGGGGCCAGGCAGGGCTCAGTGTCTTGGGCTGGGCTGTGGGTCCTGGGGCGAGCACAGCCCTGCGGAACTGGACTGACCACTCTCCTTGCTGCCTGCCTGCTGTAAGGAAACTGTTTGAAACCAGAACCAAAGATGCGCTTCCTTAAGAAAAAATCCTACTTTCACACTTGCTTATCTTAGTTTTGTTTGTTTGTTTGTTTAAAGGGAAGGTCTGTTTGGCAAGTTTCTCTGAGTGCAGGACACCAAGAGGGAACCACCAAACCACAAGGGACGGAAACCTGCCTCAGCTTTCCCCACAGACCCCAAGGCCGGGACCGGTGAAGGCTGTCTGTCCATTTTCCCGTTAACTTTAAAAAGACTGAGCTTCTGTGCCTTAACGGATTCTTACATGAAACTGAAGTTACCAAACACACCAGATGTTTTGCTTTCTCCCAAACTTCCCATCTGGAGACCCTGTCCACTTACCCCTCCTGCTCCCTGTCACCCTCGTCCTGGCCCGAACACCACTCCCAGGTCACACTGGCCACGAGCACCCAGTTCTATACACACCCCTGCTCGAGCAGGCCTGGGATGGGGTGCGGGGCCGGTAAGATCACATCCAGCCCCTTCACGGCCGCACCCACTCCAAGTGAATCTGAGTGAATCCAGGTCCTTCTTGGCCTTGCAGCCCACCCCTCGCCCCAGTGCAAGTCTTCAGAGCCTGGTTCTTTCCCCTCAGGCCGGCTCAGTCACCCCAGGGCCTTTGCACTGTAGCCCCTCCTCTTCCTGTGGTCCTCTCACTCCGGTTTCTCCCTGCGCCAGTGGAAAGCGCCCCACCAGCCACCCCGCATACAGCGGCATCTCTACACCTCCCAGGACCTCGACTGTCCCTCGGTGTTTGTCACCCCGATGTGTCAGGTGCTAGGCGGCTGGGGGTTTATCTCCAACTCCCCGGGTATGAGGGAAGCTGCTCATCTCTGCAGCGGCACCACGCCTGGGGCGCAGATGAAGGCCAAATGCGGGGGGGCTCTCACAGCAGGGCCCTCTAGGGACAGAGGGCGGCAAGACCACCAGCGGGAGGTGACTGCTGCCTCTTTTGTTAGGGCCGCCTGGGCTGCCGTCCCCTGAGTCCCCAACCCCGACGACCCGCCCACACAGGGGGCTGACGGAGGAGGGTGCTGTAGCTCCCTGGGGATCAGGCTGCAGCCGCCACACCTTGGGTGGGGCCGGAAATGGTTTGCAAGGGAAGCAGCAGGTGCGAGATCAGCTGTGGGGGACCAGGTGGGAGGCACAGTTCACCCTGCAGAGGGGCCACCTCCCCGGACCGCGGGGACCAACCCTGCCCTGGGTGGGGGTGGGGAGGGGCCTGATGAAGGTGGCTCAGGTCTCTCTGCAGACACAAAACTCAGGCCCCAAGGCGGGGTTTAGCTCAGTGGTACAGCACATGCTTAGCATGAACACAGTCCTGGGTTCAATCCTCAGTTCCGCTATGAAAACATAATAAAAATAAAATTTAAATTAAAAAAAAATCAAGGACCCTTCTTCAAAAACAATCCCACCAGAAAACCCAGCTCCCAAGTCTGCCCTCTGTCAAGACCCTGCAGGCCAGCTGCCCACCCACCTCAACCCCCCAGGACTTAGGGCCCGGGGTCTGGCACCCCGCCGCTGCTCTGTGGGCTCCCTGCCCCTCTCCGAAGGCCCACCCCTCCGCAGCCTCCTCCATCCAGTCGGCCTGTGCTGGGGTCCCCAGGCCTCAGCCCCAGGCTCTTCTCCGTGTCCATCGCCACCTGCACGGGGTGCTGGGGCCCCAGGCTCATCTCAGTCAGGCCCACCCTCGCACCCAGCCAGGCCAGAGGCTACCAGTGTCGGTCCCTGAGGGTCTCAAGGGTTCTGCTGGCTTCACGCAGGGTACAGGGGAGCCCAGGATGAGCTCAGGCTGGTATCCTGGCCCCAGGCAGGCTGCTGCAGTCGTTTAGAACAAGGGTCCCGGGGCCCCCGAGTTTAGAGTATTACTATTACTGTTGCTGTTTTCTGTGTATATCTTTTTTCCGCCACCAGGGTGGCACTTCCCAGCCCAGCTAGGCCCTCTCCGCCCACAGTGGAGTGGGGCAGGGCCCTCCCGGGTGTGGCTATTTTAGTGTCAGGGCTGGACCAGTCCTGGGCCCAGAGGCGTGGGGAGCAGATGGCTTGGAGGTGCTGGGAATGCCACTCGCTTCCGGAGAATTCGAGAGCTCTCTCCCCGACTCAGGCAGATCCCAGAATAGCCCTCCTGCGCTCCGGCTGTCAGGCAGACGTCCCGGGTGGCGGCGGCACGTCGCCACCTGTCCCCGCCACAGCCACACAACTGGTGGGCAGGTGGGCGGGGGAACGCAGAGCCTGGCCGTTCTCCTGAAACACGCCCACCCCTGGGGTCTCCTCCCTCCCTGCCCCTGTCCGCTGCAGTGCCCAGACGTGCACTCGCGGACCATGGGCCCCCGATGTGTTTCTGACGGGAGGCCAAGGGCTCACCAGCCTGCACGGGGGATGTTTCCCCTCTCCCCTCTCAGATGGAAACCCAGGGCAGATGGGTGGGCAGACCAGGTAGGTGGGCGCAGACCCAGGCTGGGGGTGCCGAGAGCAGAGAGGAGGACGACTCAGAGGCAAAGGTGGGGACATCCGAAAAGCGAGCATGCAGGATGGAACCTGCACTGCTCATAAACCCAGCCAGGCAGGTGCGAGGACCCAGGGACCCTGACACAGGCCGACAGCGTGGATGGGGCTGGGAGGGCAGGGGACCACAGAGCCTGGGATGCCAGACCCCCGCCCACCCTGTGCACCCGGCACCCACTCACCATCTGGAGGACCCCGAAGAAGGACATGAGGTAGCCGGACTGGGCGGCCTCCAGCTGGAAGAAGTCCATGGAGATGATGGAGAACATGACCATGAAGAGCCCTGGACGAGGCGGGAGGTCAGGCTGCAAGGTCAGGCTAGGGGACGGGCCTTCCCCCACCCCACCCCCATCAGCTGGCCAGTCAGGGCTCCAGGGGCCCGGCTGCAGTGACTGGCTCGGGAGGCCAACGCCAACCTTCCGTGGGGTCCTCGCTGGCCAGGGAGGTGCTCCCCGTGCGGCCGCTGTGGACTGCGTGCAGGAAGGTGCTGGGAGCTGCCCCATGGCCGGGGCGGCTGAAGCCCAGGGCCGTCAGAGGAGGGTGGTTGATGCTGTGGGAAGACGTGGCCCCAGGACTGCCGTCGGTGACTCAGTTCCTGTCACTGTGCCCCCAGAGAGCCGTCCTGGATGTCAGACAGAGCTGACTAGGGAGCCCCTCCTAGGAGCTGGGGCAGGTTTGCAAAGGCAAAGAGCTTCCTGCAGCCGAGGGAACCCTCTAGCACTGACGTGGACGTGGAAGCGGAAGCACTTGAACGCCTGTCAACCATGTCACACTAATTTGTCCTCTGTGCTGCTCCCCTGGTTGGAGAACCCCAGACGGGGGCTCTGAAGGGTAGCTACCAGGCACGACTGTAGTCAGGGATGCCCTCAGGTCCACCGAGAAGGGACACAGAAGTCGGTAGAATGTGTGACTTCCCCTGCAGACTGCCGTCTTCTCTGCCCCTCAGGCTGTCCAAGAGGCCTCAGGGCAGGGCAGTGAGAGCTTTTGTAAAGCAGGAGCCCTGAGGGGCTGGAGGGCAGGGAGAAGACAGACACTTCTCTGTTCCTCCTCCTTCTGGCCTGAGCGCCACATCTGCCCAAAGCAGGCGGCCGTCTTCCTCTCTGGGACAGATGTGACCGGATCAGGCACCAGGGAGGCTAGGAGCACGCGGCACAGGGCAGAGGGAAGGGGCGATCAAAGGGCCGCAGGCCTCCGTCCCCACGGCCCGGAATTCTCGGCGGCACCAGGCTCTGGACACCTGGCTGGGCAGCCCAGGACTCACCGGAGGGGAAGCCAGAGATCACCTTGACCAGAAATATGGGCAGGACGCCCGGCAGCAGCAGAAGACGAGTGATGGCCTTCAGGTCAAACACGCTGGCCTTGGGTCCACCTGGGGCACCAGAGGGGTTCATCAGATCACAGGACAGCTGCCTGGAGACCCGTACCTGTCAGGGATGGGAGCCCTCCACAGAGTCTCCCTCACAGGCACCCTGGGTGTGCCCCAGGCAGCTCATCACACTCACAGGACTGGACCTCAGGCCCTGCTGACCCTGCGAACCTCTGAATTCCGGGAGACAACCTGGCCTGGACCTGGGTACCAAGTAATGGAGGCCCTGGCTCCCCCAACCCCGTAACCAGGGCAGCTGCTCCCTGCCCAGCCCTAGGCTGCGGCAGGAGCGCGACAAGGCCAGGGAGGCAGCCGTTACTGAGAAGGGGCCACCCTCAGTGGCTGAGAGTGACCACTGGCGGATACTTGAGGACCACGGTGCAGCCTCCCAGCTGGGTTTGGCTGCGCTGCCCTGCCTGACTCTCCCAGGCTCCTCCTGCACCTCAGCCCTCTTCCTCTGTGCCTCCAGGCCTGACCCCACCCCAGGCCCTCCCTCCTGACTCTTTCCGGGTTGTTCCATCAGAGCTGTGGTTCAGGGGCCTCCTGTCCCGGGCTGGCTCCTAGGTGGGTCTCTGGGTTGCTCTCGGTCACTGGGGTCCTATGCTGTGCCAGGCAGGAAGTGGATGGGCTGGGATGTCCTGAAGGGGACCCCATTTGGAGCCCCACCTCTCCCCACGGGGCCTGGGAGGCAGGGTGAACCCATGTGCCCTAACCTGGCCGTGCTCTGCTCCCAACCTCGGTGCTCCCCCAGAGCTGCACTCCTGAAGCTGGTACCCTCGAGTCACCCTATACAGCATGGCGACCAGCTGCCCTGGGCCTCCGGGTCCTGGCTAACGACCCCTGCCCTGCCCCAGGTTCCACCTGGGCCTACCCAGGCTCCGTTCTGATGGTGTCCGAAGCTGGGAGATGCCCAGCACCCTGGAGGGGCTTAAGGAAGGACAGAGCACACCCATCTCCCCCACCCCGGCAGGTGGGAAGCCACCACGGATGCTTTGGCACATCGTGGTCTTGGCAAACCCCCTGGAGGAAAGGCTGGGCTGGGGAGGCCTAGCCCAGGGTCCAGGCTGCTGGCTGGTAGCGGGGAGGGCTCAGGCCTCACGCTGCCCGGGTGTCTGGAAGCAGCGTCCCTGGTGGGTGTAACTGACCAGGTGTGTTTGGCAGCGGACACCGGACGGGACGTGCACGGTGGGGCACGTTTTATGTGTATCTGGTGGCCCTTACCTGGCGGGGCAGCCTGGTCCTGGGTGCTGGCCTCTTTGGTGCTGGTGGGGATGCAGGTGAAACTGAGGACAGCTCCCAGGAGATTAACCACAAAAGCCACGATGGCCGGACACTGAATCCTGGGAGTGACAGTTGTGGTCACACAGCGCTCAGGCCCCAGGGCACAGGTGTCCCCTGGGCATCTCCCCTACCTGCCCCTTCAGTCACATGTAGGCTCCGACAGCTGAGGACAGCTCAAACCCCGCCACCCAAGTCCCTGAAGCCTCTGAGCTGGAGGGCAAGAATCGGACCCTCAGGGCACGTCAAGCAGGTGACAGAAGAAAGAGGAGGTGGAGCCCTTGCCCTCCCGCCCCTCATGCTGTGGACACTCTGAGCGGGGGCTGCAGGGGGACCAGGATGGTGAGCCCTGGAAGGGCAGGGGTGGAGGTGATTCTCCAAGGGACGTTCGGCTCCCAGGCTGCTGAGGGGTAGGGAAGGGGTGAGAAGGGCCCCCACTGCTCCTGGCCAGAGCGGTGTTGTCAGAGACCGGGGGCCCTGCACTGAGCCCTGGGGGCCGTGTTCTGTGGAGCTGGAACCAGCAAGGAGGATGGTCCCAGGCACCCGTGCCAGGTGAGGGCAGCGCCAAGGGTCCCGCCCACTTTGTAGAGCAGGACACTGAGTCTTCTGGGGAAAGGGCCCTGTCTCCAGCTCCCTCGGTCCCCCTCCCTCTGGTGGGACTGAGGTGGCCTCCTGGGGGAGGATGGCGGCTGAGACAGCGACCTCTGCCCTCGGTGACTCAGGTGCAGTGGGGTGAGGGCTCACTGGCAGCAAAACGCCAGGTGGCACTGGGGCTGGGCACCAGGAGGGGCACCAAACAGACTGGGGCCGATGTGCCGGGTGGGCAGGGGGCCTGGGTTTGAATCGCAGCTCCACCCACCCTCATGGAAGACCATGGGGCCCTCCTCGTCCTGCCTCCTTCCCCTCATGGGGGACAGGCCTGCCCTCAGTGGGCCTCAGGAGCCTCTCCCCCTGCCCTGCTTCCTGGAGGGGGCAGGGCACGCTAGGCCCACTGGGTCAGGGGTGCAGGGTCCGGGGTTGGGACACAGCCCCGGGACGCCTTCCCTCCTCACAGCACCACCGAGGGCTGTGACTCAGGCTCTCATTTCTGAGGGAGCGTTTCTCCTCCATGAGTCACCACATGGGAACTCAGCCCTTGACCCCTCTGGAAGGCATAGGCAGGCCTCGGCCTCCAGCTCCAGGCGGCCAAGGCCACCTGGGAGCAAGGGTACTGGGGGCTGGCTGTTCTGTCACTGCTCCCTCCTGAGGGCTGGCCTGGCACCGCCACCCCGCACCCCCAGCCCTGAGGGGAAGACAAGGAGTAAAACAGGAACTTCTTACTGAGCCAGGCTACTTGGACCTCCAGGCCTGTCACGGCCAAGCACCTTGCCCCTCAGAAGCACAGAAAACTCCTATGCATCCTGCCAAAGCCCTCTCTGTGGGGCCCTCCCACTCTCTTCTTTCCTAGTGGGCATCCCGTCCTTTGTGAAGGGCTTGCTCCACTACAGGGCCAGTATCTGGCTCCCGCCCCACCCAACCACAGCTGCACCAGAGCACCAGACCCCGGGCACACATGCACGCACGTGTGCTCAGGCACACAGGCACAGCTCCCACGGGAAACCTCAGGCAGGAAAGGGCTCTACCCCACGTGAGAGCAAGGAAACCCGTGGGGCCTCTAGCACCAGAGAGGCTGGGCCTCAGCCACCCTCACTGCTCGGACTGGGACCTGCCGGAGCTCAAACGGTTGGTCAGTGGTGTACTGGCCCATCGGCAGGGGCCCTTCTCTGACCTCCTGGCTGAAGACCGCTGTGTAGAATGCTGGGTTTTCTGGCTGTCAGGGTTCCAAACAAAGGGGTGTGTCCCTTGACTGCCGGGCAGGAAGCGTCAGGGGGCACTGGACTCCAGAGTGAGGCCTCTGCTGGGACCCCAGGGCAGGGATGAGGCCGGGTGTGGGAGCCATTGCCCCCTCCCCCAGACAGCAGGGACACCCTGGCCCCAGCGGCCAAGTCCAGAGAGAAGGGCCCTTTCTTCAGAGCTCTGGCCTCAGAGGCCCGCACGTCACTGCTCGGGGCCTGTCCAGGCAGGGACAAAACCAGCTTTCTTTGCCAGATGCCCTGGGAATTTGTGAGGGCAGAGGCGGCCACTTAGATGGCTATTTTGGGAGGCTGGTGACAAGCAACCCGGGGCATGGCAGGGAGCCAGGCCGGTTCTCCTGAGATCTCTCCTGTCCCTTGTGTGATAGCCAGGGAACTGAAGGGGGCACAGGGACCCTGGAGGGCCCTTGGAGGGTGTCAGGGCCCCAGGGTGTCCTTCCCTACTCAGTGCTCACTCTGACTCCCTCAGACCGAATGCCGGAAGGGACAGTGAACGGATGGGAGGGACACACTGCAGCCCTGGGTCTCCCTGAGGGCCTGCTCCGTGGGGACACCCTCCAGCCTCGTGCCCCCAACTGGTGCTGCTCTGTCATCCAAGACACAACTCGGGTGCCCCTCCCCGGGGGCCTTCGGTTGACGCACCCCCAGAGTTGGCCCCTGTGGGCTGTGTGTCCACTGGCTTATTGGACCATTTGTTACAAACTGAGCTCTGACCATGAGGCAGGCATGGTTAGGATGTCTTTGTCCACTCACCCCCTTTTATTTAAGCTGAGTGGCTGGACAGGAGACTAGACACATGGACCCATGGACACCCTGAAAGGCCACTGGGCCGGACTCAGGACACCTGAATCCTTGTCCCTTCCCCGTGGCTACCTAGCTGGGTGACCTCTTTTCCTCAGAGGCAAATGAGGGCTGGACTCACAGGGAGTCCCCTGCCAGGACCCCCTGTCCGCCCCAAGGCTGTCCTGGAGCCAGCCCACCCTGCGTCCCCCCGGGGGAGGCTTTTGGGACTGACCACGGCTCGTCATGGCTGCCACTGGCCCTGGTCAAACTGTAGCAGCGGCAAACACTGCCTTTCATCCTTATCTTGAGGGCCCGGAACTTACCGATGTGACATTATCAGGAGGGCGGTGGGCCTGGCTACCCGCCCACTCCGTGTGGACTTTCCGCCCCACATCATGGGTCTTCTGCCTAGCTCTGGGGTGACCACTCCTCCTGCGGCTGGGGCTGCCCTCCCCGCCTGCTCTGGGGTCTGAGAGGTGACGGCTCTTGGCCACGGTCCCCCCGGGCCTGGCTGCAGGTGGGGCTCAGGGCCTCCCGGGCTGTTTACCCCTGTCCTGTCCAACCTGGAGGGCAGTCTGGGGTCTGTGGGGACCCAACTCCAGGTGAAGCCTGGCTGTGAGGGGCTCTCGACAGTCACTGGATGTCCAGCCTGAGCTTGGGGCCAAGAATCTCCCTGCTCTTCCCGATCCACAGGCCACAACGCTGTGGCTAGAGCCGTGTCTGAAAACAGACGTCTTGTGGGGCCACTCCTGATTCAGCCCCACTCTGGCTTCCAGGTTCCAGAAAAAGGCCTTCAAGCTGGATCTGGCCTAACTCTTTACAGCCCTCCATTCTCCGGAGCATCTGACCACACAGACCTCAGGCAAGCCCCAAGACCCTTCCTGCCCCAGGGCCTTTGCTGGGCTTTCCCTCCGCCTGCAACACTGACTTCTGGTTCTCAGGTCTAGACTGAGCTCGCAGCCATTTGTGCCCTGTCCGTATACTTCCTAGTGCCCGCAGCACCCAGGCTCTCTCTGCAGGGCCTGGGCGACCTCCGGGGTGCGGCCTGGCACAGCTTGTGAGGAACCGGAGCACCAGGCAGGGCAGGAAGCCCGGCCGGCCCCTGAGCCACTCCTGTCCCAGAGCTGCTCGGGGCAGCCCCGAACATCCGCTCATCAGCGTCAGGGAAGCTGCCGTGTCACTGGGGCGGAAACACCATGTCAGCAGGATCAGGTGCCCGGACCAGGGGCAGAGGTACGGTCCTCAGGGAGGCTGGCTTTCCCAGGCCTCCGGATAAGGAGTGGGTCATACCAGCTGAGTCATCCAGGGCCCACGGGGCACAGAGCGGGGCTGAGGGCCAGAGTGGGGCCACATGCCAGACAGTTAGGGCCCAGGAGGGCTGGCCATTGACCCTGAGGCCCAGCTTTGCCTGACCTCTAGAGTCTGTGGCTGGACACTCCCCCAGCTGAGGCCTGAATTGAGTGGCCACCCTGGTGGGCCATCTCCAGGGGGCCAGAGCCCAGCTGGACCTATGATTTGCTGTGCAGGGCTGCCCCTTCAGTGCTCCGTAAAGACCTCACGTCCCACCGTCACTCAGCACACCAAGTCCTCAGCGAGGCCTGGCTCTGTCTGACTCCGCCGTCAGCGAGGTTTGATGCGTGGCGCCCCCTTTTGCAGATCCCTGGGCCTGGTGGCCTTGGTAGGCTGGTGCTGCCCACCTCCGAGGCACACGGCCCGCTGTGGGGGAGGGGATGATAGAGGCCTCCCCAGGCTGTGAGGTGCCAGGCTCCAGGCCATGAGTCACAGGGCTGCCCCCTCACCTGCTAAGTGACTCAGGGCCAAGGTCTGTGCCCTCCTTGGGAGCCTGGCCTCCCAGCCCTGAGCCCCAGGCTGGGCCCAAACCAGTTATACCAGTGCCCAGCCCACAGCAGTGGCTGCCAAGTCCACTTCCTCCACCTGCTCCCTGGTGGGGGTGGCACATGGCTGAGGCCTTTAGGGGACAGGGCAGCGGGGGTGGGGTGGGCAGGGAGGAACAGCGAGGCAGATCTTGCATCGTGTCTCAGTTTCTATCAGAGAAGGGGAAAGGGGGCGGGAATGGGGCCTTTACATCTGCCTGGCCCTTGCCCGGAGCTGTGCCAGGAGGTGGAGAGGCTGCTGGCCAGCAGAGAGGCCAGACCGGGAGAGGGCCTTGCCATGGGGTTTCAGGGTCCTGGAGCCCATGTTCCTTGGGCCTTGGATGGGACTGGGCGCTCCATTGGGGAGTCTTTCTTACCCTCTCTGGGCCTCAGTTTCCCTGCCCATGAAAGGAAGTGTATAAAGCACCTTAGATCTTGTGATGAAAGAAGCTGATGGAATGCTCTGGAAGGTGAGGGCAGGGGTGGAGTTGGTCTTGGGGGCTGCTGGGAGGGAAAGGGGAGTGAGGGGTGTCTTCTGGGTCAGCAGCTGGGCTGGAGAAAAAGGCAGGCGATGAGAGGCGGGAACGTGGGGTAGGGCTGGCCTGGGGAGGCCTGTGTGTGTCTGTGTAGGTGTCCCCTGGACACAGGGCCTGGTCTTAACTCCTAGGAGTGAGAGCTGATGGGCCCATTTCACAGCTGAGAATACCTGGCAAGGTGAGGAAAGTTGCCGCATGGCCCATGATGGCCGGTGGCAGGGCTGGGAGGTGACCCACCATTCCTGGTTGCTGAGTTCTGGGGGGAGGGGCAGCATGGGGGCTCCTCCCTGCCCGCCTCTCCCTCCCCTACACCTAACCCTCCTTACTAGGGGCCCCTGACTGTCTTTCTTCCTCCCTGGGTACACAGAGGCCCTCTTTCTCTTGCACCTGGTCCATCCACCGAATTGGGCTTCCGCCCCCGCGCTGCGTGGAGGGAGGTGGCCCGGGTCCAGCAGAATCCGCAGTCATGCTCAGGAGTCCTGTCTTGACCCACTCGCCTGGATGTTCACCTGGACTCCCTTCCCTCTGGTCCTCCCGGTGCCTTTTCTTGATCCCCGGCTTCTAACGTAAAGCACCAGCCTTGATCTGAGCCGATTCACAGGGCTTACAAACTACCCCCTGGAGGACAAAGCCCTGCTCTCCTCCAGCTCTGACTCCCTCGCCCAGGCCCCACTCCAGAGCTCCTTCCTTCAAGCATCTTTTGGGCACCAGACTCATCCTGACAGAGACCCAGCTCCTGCTGGTGCTTGGGCAACTCAGATCACAGCGAGGCCCATGGCTCCCCCAGGACTAGCCCCAGAGTTGAGGCACTGCCTTGAGTCCACACTTACATCCCAGCCATCAGCAAAACCAAGCCAGAAACTGCCCTCTGTTGTCTCCCCACCACGGCCATCCCTGCTCCAGCTGCCATCCTCTCCCACCAGGACCTCACTGGTCTCCCTGTGGTGGCCGGAGCCCCCACACTCTCAACACAGCAGCCTGGTCATAGCCTGCCCCTGCTCCATGGCCTGACCTAGTGCCCACCCGCCCCGTCCCCCCTGCTGCTCCTTCACCCTAGCCGCACACAGCCCTTCCTCCCACTGCCCCGACCTCAGGGCCTTTGCACTTGCTGTCCCTTTGCCTCCCCTGATGTCCTCTGCCTGATGTTGTACGAATACATATCCTAGTTATTTCACCTGAGGACTCACCTGTCACGTTCACCACTGCATCCCAGCACCTCGAATCCCAGGGGCACTTAGTTCAATAAATATCGATGAGGAAACAAACAAATGAAGCAGTCCTGCCCTCTGTACCCCAGCTTCCTGCTCACAGCACTCAGCAGAGCCTGCCATCCCCAACCCAGCTCTGATGAAGATGCTGGGGGGCGCAGGGGGTGGTGGACGCCTTGAACAGACCTCCCTCCAGAGATGGAGCTGCCTTGACAAGGGCTCTGGGCCCTCCTGTCCCTCAGTCTCTGGGCTCAGCCATCGCCCACTCCCAAGTCTGAGACTTGTGTGGGGCACCTGGGGAGCCCAGGGAAGCTAAGGCTCCAGCATCCCGGCGGCTGGCATAGGGTCATACAAGATCACAGGGCCAGGTGTCAAGAGAGGCGCTGAGTGCATGCTGAGTGCGCACGCATGTGGTTCAGACATCAGGAAGGTCCTTCCCGGAATGGAATCCCAGGGTAGCTCATGCTGGCCCTGGCAGAGTTGGGGGATCACCAGCTGGCACAGGGCCTCTGGTCAGGTAGGCAGGGGTCTCCACCGAAAACTGGGCTGGACACCTGGCCCCGACTCCCCCAGAGCCACACCCACCTGGTAGGTTCCTGCAGGTCACCGTCCCAGGGACATAACCTGCTCAGGGTGCACCTGGGGAAACTGAGACCTGGAGGGGTGGCGAGGCTGCAGGGCGGGGTGGCGGTGCAGAACCGACCCAGCCTGGACCGTCCTGATCACATTCCTGTCCACCACTCTGTCCATACCCCACCTCGTCTGCCTGTCCCCCAGCAGGGTCCTCGCCCCGGACACTCACCCACACGCGCTGCTCAGGGTCCCGCCGAGCAGGGAGCCGACGATGACGCCGATGCCGAAGCACAGGCCGAGCCGGCCCAGGGCCGCCGGCCGCTCCTCAGGCGTGGTCAGGTCTGTGATGACCATCTGGGCAGCTAGGCGATGGGACAGGGGCTGAGCGCCGCAGGCCCTTGCTGACCCTCGTATGGCCTGTGGGCCCAGGCCACGCCCTCTCACCTCCCCACCCCACCCTGCTCTCCTGGCCCCCGTTGGCCCTACCTGGCAACGTGTGCATGAGTGCTGCGGGCAGGCGCGAGGCGAAGAGTAAGGCCACGCCGGGCAGGGACGGGCTGCAGGCTGCGACCAGGAGCAGGTAGAGTGCGGAGGACGCCAGGAAGGAGAGCGTGAAGGCTGCCCTTGCCCCGTGCTGGTCTGCGAACCTGGGGGGCCCCACACCTGTGACCCTCACGGCTGGGAGGTAGGGTTCTCCTCCTCTGCACCACACCTACTCCTTGGGACTGCCAGGGGCTGGCCCAAAGTTTCCCCAGCAGGGCTAATCAGGGAGGCCAGGGTTTCTGCTGGGCTGTGGGCCTCCCTCCTCTTAGACCCTGTTTCTCCATCCTTCCAAAGGGAAGGATCTCAGGGAGTCTGACCAAGACGGTCATTCCCACTCCTATGAGATAACTTGTGGGATGCAAATGGACCAAGGGCATGTGCACGTTTTATAGAAAGTGTTTCCCAGGCTCCAGCCCTTTCTCCACCCGAGCTCCAGGCAGCAGCGTGAACCACCCCCCACCCCAGCAGCCCCTGCTCAGTCTGATCTTACTGGGTCTGGAGTTCCCTCTGAGTTACTCTGAAGATCCGACTTGTGCCACATTAATCCGTCCACTGCGGGGTTTGCGGGAGGACGTCTCCCGTCCTGCCCCTCGGCCCAGCGCCTCCATAGCACTAAGACTAGTGGGGCTCCCAGTCCCCAGAATTGTCTTTTCCAGAAAAATTGCTGGTGGGACTCCCAGCTCAATGGGGCTGAGCGTTTATAGTCACGAGTGTCTCACCAATTAAATCTTCTCTCAGGCCACACATCAGAAGTCATGGGTGAGGACACCCTGGGAGCGAGGGCTTGACCCAGCCTTAAAGCGACTAAAGCTCCTCTGTGCCTCAGTGAGCCCGTCTGTGAAGTGGGAGTTGCCATCTCTCCAGCAGGGCCCAGAGTAAGGTCTGGGTACCCAGCACAAGCCAGGCCATGTCCTCCAAAGGGCAAGCCTGGGTCGTCATGGGGTGAGGGCCCCCTAAACCTCCCTGCCCCACAGTACCTGCCAAACATGGGCCCGCCCAGCAGCTGAAGCACTCCAAAGATCGTCTGCTGGTAGCCAAAGGCAACAGAATCCAGGCCCAGCCTCCGGGACAGGTACTGAAACATAGGAGGTTCCGTTGGAAGGCCCTGGGATGGACCCCAGCACCTGTGACCCAGGGGCCTTCGTGGGCAGGGGGTAGGAGGGGTAGCCCTGAACAGGGTGGGAGGGAGTTGAGGGTCTGGCCCTGACTACTCTGCCGTGCGCCTCGGAGGGACCCTTATGCTTGGACTCAGCTGCTTATCTCGCAGGGGAGCCCGTCAGAACCTTTGGGTCCAGACTCCAGTGAATTCAGCTGCTGCTCCTCCTTCCCCTCTTCTGGGTGCTCGTCAGACAAGTGAGGAGAGGCACCCGATGCCCACTTTGCCCCTGCTCTATACTCAGTGTCTAGAAGCACCTGGAAATCCACACATCCATCCAGAACTGACTCCCAGCCTCCCTCCAAGACCAGCTCCTCTGCTCCCCTGCTGATGCCTCCACCCTTCCAAGGGTTCAGGTCCCAGTCCTCAGTGTCATCCCTGATGCACCCCACCCCCTGCTGCCCCTTTCTCGCACACCCACATCCAATCCATCACCAGCTCCTGGGCTCAAACTTAACCACGGAGCCTCCTACCCTGCCCCTAGCCTCTCAGAGGTCCTGTAGCCCCTCCTGGCCTCAGCTCCTTCTCCCCTCTCCAGCACTGGTCCCACTTTTGCCCCAGACCGCCAGCCGTCCTCATGGCAGCACCCCTCCCCATGGTGGTCCCAGCTCCGTTCCTCCTGTCCCCCCCAGGGCCTTTGCACTGGTTCGCTCACTCCTGAGTCTCCTTTAAGCCTTTGCTCAGGGTCATCTTCTCAGGGAAATTTGTAGACCCCAAGCCTGCCACACTCCTCGCACCCCCAGTGCCCCTCCCCACCGCCGCCCTCCCCCAGCACAGACTAACTACGCAGAGTTTATGCATTGCTGGTAGGCGTCACCAACCCCCTGGACCACCAGCTGTGGGGGTGCGCATTGTCCAGTCCAATTTGCACTCTGGTGTATTCTGAGTTCTGAGAACAGGTGCTCAGAGTACCTGCAAGCATTTACTGAACAAACACAGGCCCCTCCCCAGAGAGCCAGTGATGAGGGGAGGGTAACACTGTGGCTGCTCTGTGCCTCGCGTTCTAAGGGTTTCAACTCTTCTCTCATCACTCCAGCACCGACCCTCTGAGGGAAGGACACTTGTCACTCCTTTTACTATGAGCCTAGGTCACCTGGCTGCTAAGGAGGGGAGTCAGGGCTTGGAGCAAGCCATTCGGTGGAAGCGAGCCGAGCTTGGGAGGCCGGGGAGCTGGGCGTACTGCTTGGCCAGGGACAAATGATGACAAAAGCGAGGGCCTCTCCCACCCAAATTCTCAGGCCCATGCCACTTAAGGGAGTCTCCTGGGGAACTTTTAAAATTGGCCCTACCCAGACCAGGCAGAAAAGGATCTCTGGGGCTCTTGGCCTCCCAAAGCCCCCTGGGGGCTGTTTCCACAGGAGGAGGGGACCCTGTGGGCCAGCTCCACCAGTGGTTGTTGAATGAATAAATAAGAGTGTATGGGGGGAATGAAAGGAGGATGGGCCGGCAGGTGCCAGGAAGCCACGGTGGCCACTTAACCAACTGGTTGCTGTGGCCTGGCAGAGCTCCAGATCAGGGCAGGTGGCAGAGAATGGGATGGATCAAGTCCCACCCTCACGTCCTGGCTGGGGAGGCAGAAATAATCTAATACCATGAAGTACAAGCTGCAGATGGACCTACCAACCAGGACCGAGGATGGAGAGGAAGCGACTCCGGGGACCTGGCAGTGCTGCAGTGGGGGAGGGCCCGCTGTGGAGGAGGCCTAGACAGAGGCCTGAGTGCAACTAGGAAGTAGCTGAGGTCCTGGGGCAGCAAATCAATAGGGCAAAGGCCCGGGGAGGGGGGGCAGGAGGAACGGAGCTGGGACCTCCATGGGGAGGGGTGCTGCCATGAGGACGGCTGGAGGTGCAGCCAGGGCCCAGGACATGCTGATGGGGGGGTCCAGAGGCAGAGTCCCTAACTGGCTCAGCTCCAGTGTGGCAAGGGCCCTCAGCAGGAGGAGTCCCGGGAGCATCAGGCCCTACCCCCGGCCCCGTCCAGGGCCCAGATGGAAGGTGAGAATGCCTGCGCAGGCGCACTGGCGGCAGGGCTGCCTGGGGAGGGGTACTCACGGGCATGATGGAGAATTGCATGAAGAGGCAGGTGAGCTCCAGGGCCGCCAGCACATAGGTGAGTAGGATGACCCCGGCCTGGCCCAGAGCACCCATCCCACTGGGGGACTGGCCCTGGCCCCTGGGGGCCCCGGCATCCCGCATACTGGGCAGGTCCTGCTGGGAAACCATGTAGGAATCTGAGCTGGAGGCTGAAGGAACAGGCGGGGGCAAAAGTCCTGCTGTGCCCAGCGAGGGTGCTGAGTCATAGGGCGGGCAGCCAGTGGCCCTGAGAGGTCCTGTGGACAGGACATCAGACTCCAGTTGGGCTCTCCAGTCACTGGCTGTGTGACTTTGGGCCAGTCTTGTTCTTGGAGAACATGACAGCTGGCCCTCCCCTCCATGACAGACAACACTGGGTCTCCTGGCCCACAGCCATGGAGATGAAGACCCTTGCGGCGTGGGCCAGGCTCAGCACCCCATTTCCAGAGGGAAATAGGCCCAGAGTGGCTGCCGACTGCAGCTCAGGTAGGGGCCTCCTGCAGGTGTGGTGCTCGCTTGGGTCCCTGTGTGTCGTGGGGGGCGGGGTCCTTGGGGCCCATTGCGCACCCCCCACCACTACAGTGGTTTCAGCGTAAGGCCTACTTTCCTCAGCTCCCCCAGCAAGAACCAGAGGGGCTTCTGGAGTGGCCAGGTGTGGGCTGGAGGACAGCTCAGCCTTCCAGGCCCCCAGGCAGGGCAGCTCCGTCTCACCTCCTGCATTGGGGCGCGTCTGCTCCCCACACCCCCACAGGCTGGAGCCAGATTCTGCGGTTCCACAACGGCCTCCGCAGAGTTTTGCCAAGTTAACAATTGGTTGTACAGTTGGGCCCAAGGGCGGCCTTAATAACCCCGGCCCTGGGGTGGGATGGGGTAACATCAAGGCGGGGACCCGGGCCCGGGACTGTGCCCAGCCGCCTTCCCCATCCCGGGGTCAGGGAGCTTGCGGGGAGCAGGGCGGAGGCTGAGAGCGGCAGGTCAGGGGCTGCTGGCTGGGCACGGGCTGGACACCCGAGCGGGGAGCGGGTCAGGGGCCGCGCTCGCTAGAGCGAGCTCCGGTCTCTGCCTCTGCAGGACTCAGCTTGGGCACCGTCTCGGTGAGGTGAGCCCTTCTCGGGTGAGCTCTGGCCTGGCCCTTCCGGAGCTGGGCTCGGGCACCCGCCCTCTCGGGAGGACCTGGGACACTCACCCTCCCGGGTGAGCTCCCGCCCGCCTCCCGGGATTGACCGGGTGCGTTCAACACCCCGGGCTGGGCCCCGCCCGCGCGCGGCCTCCGCGCTCTCATTGGCTGAGCTGGACACGCCCCCAGCGCGCCCCGCCGCATCCCGCGCCCGCGGTCCCTGCACCGCCTCCTTCTTCCTCCCTCCAGGCTTTGCTCTGGCCCGCCTCCTCCAGCTTTTCTCCCGGGTCGGCGGGGAAGGCAGGAACCCAGGCCTCTGGAGCAGCACTGAGTGTCCAGCCTGAGCCTGGGGTCGGCAGGGTGGAGAGGGTGATGGGACGGAGGGACGCGGGACAGGGGCTGGGAAGAAGGATGGGAGAGCTAGGCGGCGTGGAGGCATTGCCTACGTCCCACACAGAGCAGGAGGCTTCTGGGAGCCACCGAGATGCCAGTTTCAGTTTTCCTCATTTCACACTGCGGCCACCCCGCCCGCTTGGACAGGGCCATCAGAGCCCCAGGGGATGCAGGTACACATGGCTTCAAACTGTTCCTCTGCAGGTCTGGCCTGGTCCCCCTACAGCCACCCAGAGACTCCCCCTTAGGTCCAGGAACCATTTCGCAGACAAGTAACCAAATAATGGCAACTCCACCACCTCACACCCTGCACCAGAGCCTGGAGCCAGGCCACAGGCCCAAACGTGAAAACCAAAGTCCCCTCTGGCGTTCGGGGCAGAAAACTGCAGGGGCCCTGAGACACGTAGGGTAGGCAGCCACAGAGCCGCCCCTGCAGCGCCTGGGAGGGCAGGCCAAAGTCCGGCAGTGAAGCACAGAGCCAGGGAGCCCCAGGCCTGCTGCGGGCCCTTCAGGGAGGGCAAGGGGCCCCAAGTCCGCAGAGGGAGTGGCTCAGGCCCAACTCTCCATAGTGGGCCTGTGTCAGAGGAGGACTTAAGTCCAAACGCATGAGGAGGGGGGGCAGGAAGGCGCTAGTTACTCACCTTTCTCTTCCTCCTGCGTCAGACAAGGCCTGTGTGTGGAAGGGAACTGGTTGGAGCAGAAGCAATCGAATCCTGCCTAAGTGTTTGTCGTGACAAGTTCAGGGGCAGGGAGCTTCCTGGCACCCAGGGACTGTGGGAAGTCTGCTCACTTAGCCTGGCATCCGCAGGCCTCCAGGACCCACTCCAGCCCCAGGGCATTCACAGCCTCCAAGCCTCTCACGGAAACTTGTTGAAGGTTCTGCTGGGTGAAGCTGATCCGGATGGGGCTGAGGAGGAGGGCTTCTCAGAGGAAGTGACACTCTGCAGAGTCTAAAGAATGAGCTAGCAGAATGCAAGCGGCTGGACGGCCCTGCCACACACCTGCTGTTGTCTGGTGTTGGGCTGTGAAACAGGCAGCCTCGCTGAAACTGACAAACATTTTGAACACCTACTGTGTGCTGGGCTCTGGTGCTTGGGATACTCAGTCCACAAATGGGGTTGCTCTCGTGTACAGCTTCTAGTGCATCTGTGTGCCTGTGAGTGTGCACACGTGTGACTGCGTGAGTAGGGGAGGGCGGGTACTCAACACGTGGGATGTGTAAGACAGTGGTGCACTGATTGTGAGCGTGCAGGCTTGCTCTGCGTGCCGTGGAGCCGCTGCAGGGTTCTAAGCTCGCCTGCTGTCCTAGAAGGGACCTCTGGCTGATCAGGGGCTGCTGGGGTGGGCCAGGGTGGGGAGGCTCCTGCAGTCCTGATGAGGGTGACGGGGACTGGGGCAGGAGGTGGCAGCGGAGCCTGAGACCCTGCAAATCCGGGCAAGGAGGAGCTGACTGGTGTCCCGGTGGTGTTTGTCAGCTGAGGAGCCGGGGTATTTGTGGGGGGCCTCAGGGGAGAGCCTGTTGGGGCTCAGTGTTCCAGTGGTGGAGTCGCGGGTCAGCACACAGGTGCAGGGGCGTGGGATCGGGCTGGGCTGTGGTCTGAGCTTGGGGTATGGATTAGGGCATCTTTTGCATTGAGACAGTGTTTAGGGTGAGACACTCTGGACGAGATGAGCCCATGGGTGGGTTGATGAGGGTCCCATGGAGCAGTGCTTATTACTCTTATTGTTCCCCCAGGGCCCACCTCAGTGTCACCTCTTCAAGGCCGCCAACAAGGTTTTGGTTGGGGTGGGACCGGGGTGGGACCAGGGTGGGGGCCAAGGTGAGAGGTGGGTCTCCTGCCCCAGACTTACCTTCCCAGCCCAGGTGAAGGGCAGTTTCAGGCCTTGGCCGGCAGGTGGCGCCCGAGCCCACAGCAGCATCCATGCCCCCAACAGTGTCCCCAGGCGGTAGGGCTCTGGCTTGGTGGGTGTCCTTGACGTCACCTCAGCTTGTGCGGTCACCTCAGCTTATGAGCTCCATTTTGGAGGCTGTCAGCTTAAGGGCCTGGGAGGGCAGGTTCAAAGTCCCTCTACAGATGCCACATGAGGGGCTGGGCTGACAGGTGCTGGGGAACCTTCCAGAACTGGAGTCTGTGACTAGGGCCCTGGGGATGGAGTCTAGGCGGGGGCTTCTCGGAAGAGCAGGCAGGAGCTGGGCCTTGTGTTGGTTCCAATTCACCGGCAGGATTGAGGACTTCAGGCCTCAGCATGGCCATGCCCCCAGAGCAGGCTCTGGCGGCCAATGGGGGCTTCTCCACTGGCCCTTAGGGATGCAGGGACCCCTGGATCTGGTGTCCAAGCAGAAGGAGGGCAGCAGAGGTCTGGGGTCCCGGGACAGGCGTGCGCCCACCTCTTACCCACTGAATTCTGCTGTGCTCCTGGCCCAGTGCTGGGACACAGGGTCCCACATGGTGGGGTGTGGGTCATTCACGCCAGGGGCTCATATGGCAGCCTAGATGGGGACACCTGGCTGAGAAGATTACTGGAGTTGGTGTCCAGGAGAGAGGCCTGTAGACGAGGGAACTCAGGGGCACTTGGTGATGGCTGGGGTACAAGGTGGGATGGCCACGTCCCCTTTCTCCCACCACCAGAGGAGAGGAGGACCAGGGGACCCTGCTCTTGGAGGTGCCAATGGCTCTGGCTTGTGTGGGACGTGGGGCTTTCCACATGAAAACGGAGACTGTCCTTGGACAGGACCAGCCAGGCCAACTGGTCATCCTCCCTTGAGGGTCACTGGAGGGCAGGCAGACTCACACTGGGCCTTGACCCAGAGGAAGAAAGGGGTGGAGGACAGCAGGGGCTGCACTGCCAGCTCACGGGGCCCCACTTCTAGAGCGCTGGATGAACTTGGGCAGGAAAAATAGCTTCAAAGGAGGGATGTCCATCCAGGAAGGCCAGAGGGGGCATGGCTGGCAGCCGGAGGTCTGGCTTGGTGGTGAGAGGGTAGATGGGCAGCCTGGAATCAGGGAAAGATGAGCCTTCCAACTTCACAGGGAAGCAGGGCTCAGGGAGAGCAGCCCTGCACCTGTCAGCCATGCTGGGTGGGGAAACCAAGGCAGGACAGGTGGCGTGAATGTGCCTCTCTGCATGTGTCCTGGTGCCTCAGTCCCCACATCAGGCACGTGGCGGGGGGGCCTGCATCTCCCCTGGGCGCTGCCTCCTTCCCTCCTGGTCCCTCGTCCCCCACTAGAGCGGCCACCCCATTTTCTGACCATCCATCTCACATCCACTGTCTTCTGGAACCTTCACCCATTGGGAACTCAGTAGAGAATCCAGGAAGTAGAGGACTTCTAGAAAGTCAGAAGGGAAGTCACCAATCCACGCACCCCTTCTTACCCCAGAGAGCTCCCTGGCCCGCACCCATGGCGGTTTCACGGGGCCTGGTTACTCGCTTGCTGTTGGAGACCGCCACACTGCCGTCTCTAGAGGGGAGAAGCAGACGTCGCCTTCTCTGCTCTGGGCGCCCTGGGACCTGGTGGGCCTCTCTGGCCCCAGCTGCCCCCGCCCCAGGACCTCTGGTCTGCTGCTCAGCTCCAGAGCGGCAAGGTCTCGCATGTGTTTTGCAGACTGAAGAAGTTGGAGAGAGAGCCCCAGCTGGCCTTTCGCCCTGCCCCTTCCACCCATGGGACTCAGCACAGGCGCGGCCCTGGAAATCCTCTCTGGACCCGTCTCAGGGGCAGTTGGCCCCTCTGCCTGGCTGCAACCCGGTTACCGCCCTGATCTCTTCACCGACTTTTGCCCCAACCCACGACCTGGAAGCCCCTGGAAGGGAGGGCTCTCCTGAGATCCCAGGGAGGTGTCTGCTGGATGGAGGGGCTGCCCAAAGTCATGCCGAGACACTGACAGTGGCCGAGCTAGGACAAGACTGGCTCTGCAGTCAGCCCTGCTGGACCGGCATATGACTCATCCGGCCTTGACTAGCTAGCGTCTCAGCCTCTCAGGCCTCAACTTTCCCTTCTGTGAAATGGGGACAACGCAAACTCCTCCCTCGTGGGGTACTCGTGGGACTAAATGAGGTAACTTGCACATCAATTGTGTGATGTGGGGCAGCTGCCTGGCACCGAGCAGCTGGGGCCAGACAGGGACACTGTTGAATGTTCCACAGACACCCCTGAGTTCTTGGGTGCAGCGGAGCCCTGTCCAAGCTGCTTGCTACATAAATACTGTTTCATCCTGTCTGATAATTTATTAGGGAACTGCCCATGATTTGGGGGTACAAATGCCTTTGCTGGGATCTGAGTCTCGCTGCCAGCCCACGTCCCCGAGTTCAGGGCGAATGTCCAGTTTTCATGACCAAGTTAGCTGGTGGGGTCGCCAGTGCACGGCTGGCACTCCCAGCCCTCCAGGTCTGGAGGGAGAGACTGATGCTGGGGAGGGGGGTGCCTCCTTCTCAGGAAGAGGGCCACTGTGTCAGGCACAAGGAGGCGTGGCCTCAAAGCCTCCTTAGGAGCCTTACAGATGAGACAGCAGAGGCACAGAAAGGTTAAGCAGTTTGCCCACAGTCACACAGCCAGGAAGAGGCAGTCATTCTGCCTGAATCCAAAGACCACAGATTTGTCCCTTGACCTGGCAGGTCTCCTCCCTTGCCCCCTGCACCTACTCCTCTTGGTATGTGACTGTGG